GGTTTTGCCGATAGTTTGAACGTGAACTTTTCTGCTAAAGTTGCGCAGCTTTAAAGCGAAAGCTTTAATGGGGCTTCGCGCCTCTCGTTCCCTCCCCCCTTCGCCCTTCGTCCCGCACACGCACACGCACACGCACACGCACGCAATCGTGGTCTCTCGTTCTTCCCTTGCGCCCACATTGTATTTCACGAGTTCTTCTTATGCTTTGTGGAAATGGACGATGGTGCAAGGAAACACCTTGCTGCACGTGACTCTCGTTGACTTCCGTCGACACAGTCCGATTTTCCGCGAATGAATTTGCCCACCGACGCACTTTTACATGAAGAACGCGAAGAACGCGAAGAACGCGAAGAGCAAAGAGCACAATGAAAATACGGAGCAAATTGAATGTCGAGGAAGGAAATATAAGCGAATAGCAGAGTAGTCAAACACAGAATGCACATTTGAGCCCAGCAGCTGTGCTCGTTAGCTTCTACCATGGGATCGCTTCGATTAATTATAGAGCCAGCAGACAGGTAATCACCAGTTAGCGAATCCCGGCGCTACGATGCCGAACCCATGTTTATTAGTATTTTGTCAAATGAACATTGGCTCTATCGCTTTTTACGTCCATGTATTCGACCTCTGAAAACATTGAAGATCGAAGCCCGGCGAATCTTTTCCTCCCGAGGCTGGTCCGGAGTCACACGTGTGCTCGGGGACACGGTAACATAGAGGATCCCTGGGTAGGAGAGTCGAAATGGCCGAGATCGCGGGAACTTTGCTGGAACAGAACGGAACTGGGCTTGTCGAGTGTCCAGACCTTTCTTAAGGCGGATTCCTACGAGAGGAGACAGGAGACATTCCAGTCACGTCTTGGAGTAATGATCGGTAAATGACAAATGATCCTGCGAGTTCGCGCCCTGCGCCATCATCCCCTCCTGTCCCTGCTACCTGGCTCTAGCCGCCTATGTGTTCGGCGCCCCCCGCCTGCCTATCTTGCCAACTTTCCCACAGGAAAATTCATCCCTGTCCTCGCAATTCTGCTCACTTCGCCCGTTCGGGAAAAAGTTTTAACACCTGTGAACTCTCGAGAAGTCGCGGATGCCACAGGGAGGACCGACCCCATCGACCCCATCGACCCCATCGACCCCATCGACCCCATCGACACCATCGACCCCATCGATACTATTGCCCAACCAGTCGATGAGTCTATTCCTTCCATACAATAAGTTTCGTAATCCTAACCGCTTTGGTAACTTTCTGAGTGGCAATTTACGCTAGGATTGCGTCCTCTTCCCTGTGGCACACTCCTCTTCAAGATCCTCGTAACCCGCCGCTAGAAGCTGCTAACCGCGCGGCGACCTTGTAGTCGGATCCTGGCTCTTGCAGCTTCATCCCTTTTCCCTCCCCCACGGAGCAGCCTCCTTCCAAAACTCGCAAAGAGTTGTCACTGGACGTATTTGCGATGAGGGCTGCCAGTGCAAAGAAGAGCCGGCCTGGATTGAATCCGCAGAGTCAAAGAGGTAGAAAGGCTCCACTAAAGCCCTCATTCAACTTTTTACATTAGTGAAGGCAGGAACTTGCCAACAAGGTTCTCTAGCGTCGCCGCTGCCGTTGCTGTTGCTCTTCCTACTTCCATTCCTGCTACGTCCGTTGGCATTACTGTTTACGCTGCGACCCTTCTTAAAATGGTTAGCCAAGTTTCGTCCCGTGGAGGAAAAACTTGACCTGCGCAACGATAAGTCCTTATCGTTCGTACGAGCAGCAGATCGGCCTGGCCCTTCTTCTTGCAGCTTCCAATGGTTCTTGCTTATTTCAGAGTCGTGTGAAGAAAATCTCTTTACCGACCTCTATTTACAAGGATGACTTACCCGTATAACGGTATAAACCATCGACCTAATAGAATATGCTCGAGCTACACGACTCCCGAGGTGGCTCGAGGGTTTGATGCAGCCCATAGTCGTTAAGCGGAACGTGTCTGGCCTTCGCGTTTCTCTGTGCTCTCCTGTGTTATCGCGATCTCCTCCGGGGAGAAATGACGACTAGGAAGCGACCTAGGAAGTCCTGCTGCTCGTTCCTGGCTTAAAAAGTGAACCCTACTTATGGGGTAGCGAGACCTCCGGGATTCCTTGGGCACAAGGATCAATTAACCCTTGCCAGCTTCGCCAGCTTCGCCAGCTTTGCCAGACTTGCCAGTCGGGTGGTTTGAAGGGCACGAGGGAGGCTGGGAGCCGCAATGTTGGGGAAGGAGGAAAATCGAGAAAGGAAAATTTGTCAGAGTACGAAGCGCTTCAGGCCGGGGCTTTAAAATGGATAAATTTATGTCGGAATAGGCGAATTTCGGGGCCGGAGACACGTGCGTTCTTCGGCACCTGGCCCACTTCCGTAATTCAATCAGCCGCGACGGCCGGGGATCCAGGATCCTATTAAGGATCTCGGCCGCAACCAGGTCGAAATTTATGCTATTGGCCTTTCTCACGCGCGCTCCCAGGACTTCATTTCGTCCTGGAGTCTCGCGTCCCCTCGACACCTCCCCCCCTC